GGCCGTGGGACAGTACCTGCCCGAGGTGGGGCCGGGGATAGATGGCGTCAAGCCCCCCTATGGCTACATGGGCAAGAAAGGCAAGGCTGGCGGCGCCGTCTTCGAGATGCCCGCGTTCACAGCGGAGCTCCTCACCCCCTTCCCCCGGGTCGGCGTGCCAGTGAAGTTTGACAAGCTCCTCTACAACGGCCGGCAGAACTACAACCCCCAGACGGGGATCTTCACCTGTGAGATCCCTGGCATCTACTACTTCGCCTACCACGTCCACTGTAAAGGGGCCAGCGTCTGGGTGGCATTGTTCAAGAACAACGAGCCGCTGATGTACACCTATGACGAGTACAAGAAGGGCTTCCTGGACCAGGCTTCGGGCAGCGCTGTTGTCCAGCTGATGCATGGAGACAAGGTTTACGTGCAAATGCCATCTGAGCAGGCAGCAGGACTCTATGCCGGGCAGTATGTTCATTCGTCTTTTTCAGGATATTTATTGTATCCCATGTAAAACAAAAACCAGACACACACTCACATACACACAAAATCAAAACCTTTCTTCTCCGCTTCAAACTTTTATACCATGAAAGACGCATTTTATGACCGTTTTCGACCATCTTGTACTAAAAAAAATAAATACAAAGTTTAACATTATGCACAACTAGTTATAAAAAAAAAAGGTGTGGTCAACATATCTAAAGCTGTGTATCAGGTTCATAAACAGTTGTTTTGCATCCGAGGGGGACATATTAGCTGTACATTATATATTTCTGTGATGCCATGCTTACTTCATTTCATTCACAATAATTCCACACTAAGGTTCAAGTCAGTGTACGTCACTCACTCCTGTTGCATATTTGACTGTTACATTGATCATAGTTACGAGATGAAACCCAGTGACTTAAAGCAGAGTAGGTCTGTCTCAAATTATATAGAAAAATTTGAGTGGCTTTTTATTTGGGGGTGGGGTTGGGAGGGGTGGGGTGTTTGGGTTTTTTTGACAGCAGGTCTGCCTGACAAGCAAAGGTTCTCTTAGTTGGAGAACTTTATTTCCCTTCCTCCTGTACAAAATATTTCTGCAGGTGTGGTTTTTTTCCTGAACAATTTATTTATGATGGAAGAGGAGTATTGATGGCATAACTATTTCCCACAAGCCTTCTCCAGCAGTTGCTGGGCCCAGAATGCCGCCACTGACTCCAGCAGGTGCTGGATTCACCTCCAAATGCCACAGCACTCAAAAAGCGTCCATCTGCATTTGCACAGTTGAAGTAGATGAGGCAGATCAGAGACAAAAATGATGGGTTCCCCATTTGCTTTGTGCCACGTGATTGAGACATTTTGGCCAACACGTGGCAATACAGCAGGGCGGTACAAATTCACTGGGATTTCTGTGTTTGTGCTGAGAACCTGCGACTGTTTGGCTTGTCAGAAGAGACGCCTATTCCGCCACTCAGCAAAAGTTAAATCAGTTTACTCTTCAATGACTAGGCAAAGCAGAAGTAGCTCTCTTTGCTAATTAACTAATTTGTTGTTTGAGATCAACCGATAACTTTACCAGCAATCTGATCACGCAATTTTATCCAAGAACTGCATTTTATATAAACGCTGATTTCCAATCCTTATTTATATGTTAGCAATTGTCAAGGAGAACCTGCAGGCCTCGATCTTTTCTGTATGTGAGGAAAGCAACTTCTCTGCAAGAGCTGTCTGTTCATCAATGGTGCTAATCTCACCTCAAAAGTATTTGTTTCCAAAGGGCAGTGTACTTTGCTGTGGTTCCCTGTACAGTGCTGCACATCACACACTGTTATGCTAGTTGAAAGAGTTAAATACTCATCACTTCCTCAATGTCTTTAGCTAATGCTACCGCTTTTGATTCAAAATGAACTAGATTTTTCATGCAGAACTAAGATTGGATTTAACTGGCATTACCATTATTTAAATGCAGAGTTTAATGCAGTCTAACATTGACTAAGGACTCCAGTGATGTAATGTGGTGCTTTATCTCAGAAATTTTATGGAACGGTGGCAGGAACAGACGGACAGTTTACCAGGCATTGGTGACTTCGGTATGTTCCCAGAATATATGAGATATGTCAAAAGCAAATAATTTTGTATTTAAAATTTTTGTACTGATTTTAAAAAAATATCTTATTAAATATCTTTAAAAAAAAAAATCCTGTCTTCATTCAGCAGAACTGTTAGAAAGAGCATTCAGCCCACTGAATTCATATATCAGACCACAAGGACTCTCTGAAACCACTGACAGCCTGATATGAAAAAAAATGAGATGCCCTTTTCTTTAGTTCCCCTCCACCGGCAAAACTTGCCCAAAGCTGCTGGGAGGAACGCACTGTCCCAGCATTGCATTTAGTGGGAACGAGGGGCTGGGGGAAACGCACAGAGCCAGGGGCTCCCACAGGCGGCCCACAGGGACGGGTACCCACTTGGCGTGAGCCAACATGGCAGCGCAGCTTAAAAAGGCACAGTGGCAGCATGGGGGAAGCCAAGAAATCCGACATCATAGAGGTGCGCTGTTAAGGGTTTGTGGCTCGCTTAAAAAGCCAGAGCTGGCTGCCCAGGCTGGGAGACACGCACCCCACCCCTGGCTCTCCCCGTGATTTAAAAACAGCTTTTCCCATTCCTCGCCCTCCCCATTTCTTCACCTGCAGCAAAAACCTAGCGTGAAAGCGGCAACATATTTGTCACTGATCTACATCACTAAGCAACTACGGCTCCATTGTGGGGAGTAAATTATAACCCATGGTGTGGCTCCCCCAGTCCCACCTCAAAAACAGGCATTTCCTCCAAGCTGGCAAACTCCAAAACTGTCAATAGTAAAATGAATGCATTGAATACCTACTTGTGTCAGGTAATCATTTTCTAGATCTTCCTTAGACCCCCTGAAGCCGCTGGTTAAGCAGCTCCCTGCTCCCCAGTATCTCATTTTTACTGCAACAAGGGAAAACAAAACATGTGCAAAGTATCACAATCAGTGTCTCTCACTGTCACTCATCATATGCCATCCTCTTAGTCAAACGTCTTTTATTTCAGCATTCCCCTGAAAGTCCCCAATAAGACTGGCAAGATTAAAAAAAAAATGAAAAATTAAGAGGATGCTGCTCTTGATCTTATCCACAAAGCTGTCCCTGCTTTGCTTTTACTCAGCCTGGAGCGAGATCTTCACCCGCAGTTCAGCTCAGCCTACCAAGGTTCAAAAATTTTCAGCTCTGTTAGCTCTACTAAGCACGAAAGTTTGTTCTGAAACTCAATACTGCATCTGACAACACCGTGTGTACTTTACGCACCATTAGTAACGGGGCCGGCACATGCACGCATCTGCGCACACACAGAGCGCTGACCTTGCAAAAATAAGCCTGAAGGCACTGTCTTTAACACTGTTTATTCACCGGAAAATAATCTCTTTCCATTCATAGCATTCAAAATTTTACTTGAAACCACCACAAGAATGTCCTCAAAATACAGCCGACACTTTAAAAGCATATAAAACTTAAGACGAATGGCAAATAAAATCATTTTGGTATTTACCAATACCGAAACCAGATGTTGAGCTTTGTACGTTCTTAAAAAAACCAGACTCCACTTCAAAGTGAAGGTATTTATAATACCTCCCAGGGCATTGTTTAAAGGGAAAGCATGGCACAGGAAACAAGAGGTACCACACACTATTAAACACCAAAGTTGTGATTCTGCCGTATCACCAATACAGTCGCTGGAAATGCCATTCAGTAATATTTTGTAGGCACTCTCAGATTCATATTTAGTGCAATAGGCTGTGACCTTCCTTCTTCAGTCATATCTCAATACTTCCCTTAATAATTACAGCAGAGGAAAAAATACTTTTCTGACAGAAAAGAAACAAAAAAACAACACTAAAATTCTGAGCCAAACAGAGCTTTCAGCTGACATGTGTCATCCTGCCTGTTTTGGTGTACTATTGGTACCTTAGAGCTGGGTCTTCCTGAGCGTGCAGCATTTTGACGGGGGTGGCAGATAAAAGGCAGGAGCACCTTTGCTGTAAGACGCTGCTGTCTTGAAATTCAGCAGGCTCCTGGAGAGCAGAACAGAGGAGGAAGGGAGGAGATCGTCTGACCTTGCAATGGATACAAGAAGAAAATTTATGGGAGACACTGGGTACTATACAGTTACACTGTTACCAGATGTGGAAATAAAGCTGGCAGCACCCTGGGATTCAAAATTAGCAGCTTCGCTGCTGCTGCTGTGATTTAAAAAAATGGGTACCTTTTAAAGGGAAATTTCAGCACGGATATTTCATTTTCAGAAATAGCAAAAATGGAAAAAGAAAATCTTAATAGCAGCTCACTCACAGAAAATATTTAAGCATTTGTAGTTAGCATTATTATTTTTTTCTAGAAGTCCCAAGGCAAGTCTTTTGTATTGCAAAATGCCTGTGAAAACACGTGCCCGGATAGAGCAGACATTGTGATCTGTGGGGCATTACCGAGAACCACGCTGCGTAGAGGTATTCCTGCCTGCATGAAGTCAGTGTAAAACCGATAGCTGTCCTCAAGGCAGAGTAGCAGAAATGACCATGTGAAGCAGTGATGAAGCAGGGCTGGTATACACAGAATCCTACCAAAACATCTTACAGGGTGGAAAATGAATCACTTGGGTCATTGCTGATTATTTAAGAGAAAAGTTACTGGCCTGGCAAGCTGTGCTTTCAAAAAAAACTAGCACCCTGTGGTTTATCAACGGTCCCAAGCAAACAGGTCCAGCTCTAAGTGTTACTCAGTCAATCTGGGACAGCAACCTTGGCATATGTGGACTCGACATCCCTGCAGGAGCACAGAATTGGGGAACAAACTAGTGGGAAGAATATCACTGGAGAGGAAATAAAGCAGAGAAAATAACCACATCCTCAGAACCAGAGCTCCCTACCCACCTCCTGCCACTGGGGATGGCGGTGGAGAAGCAGAGGGAAGCAGCCTGCACCATCACCAGGCACCATGAGAAGAGGGCAAACTCAACAACTCTCCTGGAAAAAAGTCCTCTCGGTCAGTGTGCTGCATGACGTAACATGGATGTGGCTGGATCTGTGGAAGAGCAGGGGGGGAGCAACGGCGCATTTTGAGGGGGAAGAAGCAGCCCTCCACTTCTGCCTGGCTCTGCTCTCAACGGAGTCCGAGATCTACCAGGGACTTCTACGCAAACAGAGTTCAGACAACACCGTGACCTTTGCAAAAAGCCTTACCTCGGCATTTTTTTCATGTGGAATTACTATTGTCAGTAGTACTAAACTGCAGGTCTGGGGCTGCAGAGTCACATACAAACTTTCTTAATTCATTGAAATAATAACGAGAAATAAATGCTAGTAGAGACAAAGACAGTAGTGTCGCTGTTTTCTGATGCAAAACCCCATCTGTTTGTATTCAGATTTTTAAGCAAGGATCTCCTCAAAGCCTCAGAAATGTGCATGTTTAAAAAAAAAAAGAGAAGAGGAGGAAAAAAAGGAAATGCAAATAACTGAGTAAGAGCCCTTCGGCCACGTGGTGAAAAACTCCTGGTTTCCTCCATTTTTGCCACCACAGCCACCTGCTCTGGTGCCCCAGGACCTCCCGCACTCCCCTCTCCTCCACGCTCTCGCCTGCCGCCCTGCACACACTGGACAAGGGGCCACCCCTGCAGTATTGCCTGCAGCAGTCGGGCCCAAGGGACACACACTCCGCTGGTAGGCCGCCGTGGCTCCTTGCTGGAAACACATCTGGGTCCCACCCTACCCCCTGCCACAGATTTTTATGACGTCCACAGTTATTTCAGATATGTCCAATTTGCTTGAAGCAGACAAAAGCTCAGGAGTCATCAGGTGAAAACAGAAGCCTCCCCGCCTTCGGTTTGGCTCCCCTCCAAATCACACTGCCCTCACTAATTCCCAAATGGCAGAGCCAAGCAGCTAAAGAAGGAGATGAGAATTATGGGAAGGTGGGGGTTTTTTTAAATACCTGTTGCACTTCACAAGAGAAATAGGAAAAAAGAAAGATGACTCTTTGGTCACATCAATGCTTATTCCTCTACATTGCTGCAGCAAAGAAATTGTGTTCAAGTACTCTTGTAATCCTCAGCTTCTGAAAACACAAATACCGTGCTCTTGAACTGCTAGAGGTTTGTATTCATATTGTAATTGTTTGCACTCCTCCCAAACATATTAAAACTCTCTCTATAATTTTATTAAAAAGCAGCAAAGGTGTTTCTACCAACTTTAAAGACTTCTTTTTCCTGAAGTAGACTTCTTTGTGCTTTCTTTAGGTGTGATTGATCAAGAGAACCACAAGATCTTCAAGCAAATCTGCCATAATTTAAAACAAACAAACTGAATTGGAACAGCATATTACTTGTTGTTCTTTGACAGTTGTCAAGGGCATTCCCAGGCAGACAATTTATTTAGCAGGCTTGTCCAAGACAAACCAATACAGGAAACATAAATGTTCCATTAAATGTTTCAATTACAATCCCAAGTAAGTTCCCACCACTAAATGATTTAGTTCAGCCACATCCTTTAAACCTAAATGTCAAGGCAGGAGAGGTAAACAGAAACCAAATGATAATTCAGCTGAGGTACATCTTGGATATTTCCCACTACACTCTACTGCTAAAAATGGGAACGTTCATTGCTCATATTGGTGCGTTTCAAAGGTGGAAACACATTACAGCATCTGAGAAAAGAGATTGTGCTGGCTTGGAAAAAATACACCCCAGTTCTTGGGGAGTGAAGAGAAAGGTACATGAGATCCTGTCCTGGAGATCTAGGAATCCAACAACTGTTGGCTCTAAATTTAAACCCAGGCATGAAAATCTCTGTCCTGAAAATCTCTGTCCCAGCTCACATTTCTGTTGTGGTCTGGGGGAAGCAGTTGACACCCAGGTAGTTAAGACAACTGTTCAGTCTTCATACTCCCTCTTTTCTAAGTCAAGTCACCAACTGTAAAATTTATGCGATGCACAGCACAGGGAGTATGGTTTTCCATAAAATGGGTACAACGTGAGCACTGTCAATAGCAACATCTCCACAAACCAGGCCAAAGGGTCTTCACCTTCAGCAACGGCAGACAGCAGTTCCAAGTCGATGGTCAGTGCAGCAGCTGTGGCTTCTTTGCTGAAGATGGACGTCCCCTCCTCAGGAGCAGGGTAGACCAAAACCTGTATGCTCCGTATGTTCCCTCTTCTCCCAGACACACAGTAATGATTTACAGGCATCCTTTTAAAGCCATTTGCATACTACAAGACAGACATTCAAGACTTTACATCCATCTATTAATTAAACACCAGTTGTCTCAGTCTCTTGACAGTGTAACTCTTTTGGAGGATGACATCAGAAACAAAAGTATTCCAGAGAAGTAATCATTTGGAAAGAGTTCCTCCTGATAAATAAGTGATGTGCATCACATTTTTATATATCCCTAATACTTTCAGTTGAAAGTTTCATGGTTTTCCCGTTATGAAATATCTTCACAGAAATTCAGTTGACTTTGCAATAGTCCATTACTCTCAGGCTTAGAAGCAGCTTCTGCCTTGGTGAGGTTTCTGTGCTCCTTTTAAACAGTAAACAGTTATGTTGCACTTAAAAAATAAAAATATCGTACAAAAAATAAAAATTTTTCAAATCTTGAAAATAGTGATTGTTCTTCCATTCAGCTTTCACGTCAAATTGACCACAAAGTTCTTGTCTATAAGCTTCTTCAAAAATTTCTGCTCAGCATCAATGTTGTGGTATTCATTCTAAAGAGATGCAAGGGAATAATAAAAGAAATTAAATTCAAATTATTAACAGAAGCATCACTTCGTGGTTCTTTTCTTTTAATTACATGTGACACTTGGAAGATGCTAAGAGTAGGAAAGGTGTGGGGAAAAGACTTCTTAGCAAAGGCTGTACCACAGTCTCCAAGAAAACAGGCGAGTGACTCTATTGCTCAAAACTAGACTAAATTTTCCATTCGGGCACAAACCAAAAGGGATGATCCTTCAGTGGCAAGAATGGGTGAGACATCGTCTCACAGAAGTCCTTCCATTACTAACTCTCCCAACTCCTCCCTGTGCTTAGAGGGAACCGCTGCATAACCACATTTAGAGCAGAAGCAGAAAATGACTGATTCTCAAAGTAGGTTCTTGAAAAGCACACCTCAGGCATTCGTAAGGCAGATGCATCCTGCCAATCAGTTTCAAAAAGCCAAAACCAACCCATCTTCTGGGCTGTATCCAGATCCTGTCTATTCAACCAGTGATCAACCTTACCCAAGCTTGCCATACGTTGCAAAAAAGCCGTAAGAGACATGAGAGGCTCCTTGTGGGCGTTGCCCCTATCCCTCCTCTTCAGGAAAGGGAGGACGACAGAAAATGGCCCCCACGTACACCGGGCACACACATGGAACAGAAAACTGTTCACACTGAGGTAAAGGACTGAGACAGAGTTGCTCAGAGTACAGAGCTAAAGACAAGAGCAGAGACATAAAAGAAAAGAGAGGCATGACCCTAGCAAAGCAGGAGGGAGGAGAAGGCATCCCCGATGTTTGCCAGCCTCCTGCTTGCTCTCTCTCCTGGTTGCAGCCTCCCCCTCCTGGAAGCAGTTCCTTCTCTTCCTACCCACCTCCAAGAGCTGCTTTTCTTTTCTGCTTTCAGTTTCTGAAATTCCATTCTTTTCATAACTGCAAGTTTGTAGGTCTTAATGCCTTCCATTTCCCTTTGCTCTTCTTTCTCTTTTTTAAGAAGTTTGGCAGCTATGACAAGTTGTGCAAGTAGGTGCCAAGTTAAAAGAGAACGTGAACAGAAACAATGCTATTCATGATCTGACAGTGCTAGCAAGCACACCTCTAAGAACAAGAGCAGCATAGCCTAAGGATAACACCAGCAAAGCAAAACAGAACATACAAGTGGACGTATCTCATGCACGCATTGCAGAATACAGTGTAGCAGAAGGGACACAAATATCATTATTGGCTTTTTTCAGAAAAAAAAAGTGGAGATGAAGAGATGCAAGCAATGTTAATCCATGAGCAGCTGACTCAGGAGAAGACGGGAGGCCTTTCTGACCTGCAGTCCACACTTCTATCTATATTGAATTGTCTTCCCCAGTTACCAGCTATATTTCTCTCAGCATAAATGAGTGTGTGTTACCTGCATCATCTGAGACATTGTGTCGTTGCCGTAGTAGTGCAAAGAACTGTTTCTGTCAGTGAAGTCGTACTTGAAGCCTGCCAGGTGAACTTCATGGCATACGTGAAATGCTAGTGTAATGGCAATTAGCCCCGTTGTTGGATGCTTGGGTTTCTAAAACGAAACACAAAGAGCACACATACATGAATAACTGGCAGCTTAACAGGAACAGCAAGCCTAAGAATGAAGAGAACAGAAATCAGGTAGCTTGGCTCTTCTACAGATCTTTGGTTTTGTAGTTTGATGTAAGGAGTAAGGTACTGCTCACAGGTTTTCCATGATTGGGGTGTCTGCCATGTCAGCCTTCCCTGGGATTCTCCGGTTTCTAGCAAGAGCTGTAGCCCTTCCCTCCGCACTCTGCCATGTCAGCCTTCCCTGGGATTCTCTGGTTTCTAGCAAGAGCTGAGCCCATACTGTAGCCCTTCCCTCCGCATAGGTATCAGGAAGGTCTCCCCATCCCTCTGCTCAGCAACCTACTTTCATGAAACTGGTCAGGCTTCAATATACGGGAGACCTGTCAAATTTGACTGAATTAGCAGATGTGTTCAGAAGTTTCTAGATGATGGAGATCCAAACAGAACAACATGACATGCCTCAAATCTTCATAGTGCCAAACTAAAAAAGCATGAATGCTACTGCCATATAAATTTGGTTGCATTTCAAAAGCATGAATGCTACTGCCATATAAATTGAATTTATAGTTGCATTTGAACTTTTCTAAAGAAGAGAAATTCCAGAAGAACACGGCTTTAGAACTTCCCCCACTATTTCCATTAGCAGAAAAGAAACTGTAGATAAAATTGCTTATTTCTCCCTATAGTGAGACAAGCTCAGAAGTAAAAGCAATATAAAATATCAAAAGCAGGTCATAAACAGCTTTTAACTGTGCAAAATTAAGACCACATAACTGAAAATTAGCATTTCTTACAAGAGCACAGAACAAGTCATTGCAACCATCTGTCCTATCCTGTGCTCAAGTACATGACTATTTTAGCAGCAGCAGTGGTTAAAATGATCTGGAGAAGCAAACGAGGCAAGGCTTGTAGGGAGAAGTGAACCCTTTCATCAGACCAACAGCTGAAGCTGAGGGGGAAAGGTGTCCCCAGAAACGGACAAAACTTTCAGGCACCACAGCCCTTCTTAGCTAAAATAACAATCTTCTCAGAGATCAAATGAACTACACACTTCTAGTAGCTGCAATCAAACCTCAAACTGAGCACAAAATCACCTGCTTTTTTGAACTCTTACCTAAGGCTCAGTTCATTTGCCTCTGAAAACAAAGCAGGCAAACTAGTACTGGACAACTCCGCACAGAGAGAAGGCAGATGCACTCGATGATACAGAAAAATATTTTTTTGTATTTTATGATAAAAGAACAAATTCCCAGGAAAAAGTTACTAACATCAGCTCTATAAGCCTAATTAAAGTCACAGAATTGAACTGTCACCTTTTACGTAGAATTTTTTTGTACCTTTATACAACTCTTGGAGTACTCCAGAAATAACATCAACTTAAAATGCACACTATTGCCCAGGCCTCCTGCCAGTTAGCAAAATAACATTCTGCCCTGGGAGCGCAATAGCATAAACTTAGTGGTGACTCTGTTGCAATGTCCATACTAAACAGGATCCCAAAATCAGGGCAGGGATGCTACATGTCAGAACTACTGCTATTTGCAAATATCAGGAATATCACAGGTTGCAAATAGCTGTTTATCTTTGGCTATCAAAGTTCACCTCAAAAGAATATACTAAAAAAAGCAACATTACTTTTAAAATGTATTATCACGCTAGTGCCCTAGCAATATCCAGGTATCCTTGTCCTGTAATGAAATTTGTTCAACCAGTCATGTTTAATGGGAATAGGCACAGCCCTGGAATGACTCTGCAACACCTCCTGACTGCAGTGCTGCTGGGGCAGCACATCTGATTTTACAGTTGTTCTTCCCGGCTCTGCTAACACCATCACAGCTGCTAACAAAGAAACAAACACCTCCTGGACTACGCACAAATGCACACACAGGGAACATGAGATTGGCTGAATGGAAAAGGCAGAGATGGCAGGGAGAGTCATAGTGGTCTACAGCATCTCCTGCAGGCAGAGGGGGCTGAAGCATGGGACAGCGAAGGCAGCACCAGCCCTCCCCAGGGACGCACTATGGGACAGAGGGCTCCAAAGTGGGTCCTGCCAGCGGGACCCTCCAAGGCATGACCTGCAGCTTAACCGAGCTGTGCCAGAGTGACTGCAGATGTGCAGGTTCCCAGCCATGGCCCACCTTGGAGATGGGACGAAGAGTGAGGAGAAGCACGCCTGAGCTTGACCATTGCTGCTGCCAGGGACGAGGGGCTGCAAAACCCCTGGGATGGAGCAAGCGGAATGTGGAGGTGGCAGAAAGGGGCTCCAAGCACAGACACACTCTGCCCCAGCTCTGGGCAGAGGTGCCCAGCAAGCAGGAGAGGAGCAGAGGGCATGCGGGCTACCCAAAGCGACTGAGGGGGCCTGTGCCTCCATTATCAGCTCCAGGACACCAAGCACATTTCTTTGGCTCACTGACAGCACTGGTTTTAACTTTTAGTCCTGCTGACAGGGAAGCATAGGAAGAGACAGGAGGGGTTTCTGGAGCCATGGAGACCATAGATGTTCTGTGGCCCTTTCAGAAACAGTTAGACGCCCAACTGTTACGCTGCTTTCTTCCTACCCTCAGCTGAAGAGCCGAAACGCCACAGAGCCCCAGCAAGCACGCAGCCAAACTGGGTATTCCAGTCTGAGAGTCAACAAGGGAGGAAAAAGCCACTAGTAGGGTCCAATTTTAAAAAGAGAAAAGGAAAAAAATAATCACAAAAATTCCCAAAAAACAAAAACCAAACCCAACTCCCTCAAATATTAGAAAGATTAAACCAGAAAAAAGCTCTGGTACATAGTTCACAGTGACAGCCTGTCAAATGTTTCCACATATGTCAGTTGGCTGGTTCCAATAAAGCAGCTCTGTCCAACGATGTGACCCCAGGGAACCATATTTGTGCTAAACACCACGTGGTCAGTCCTGACTGCGCAAGGGAGGTCTCCAGCTTGAAGCCTCACCTTTCATCAGAAACATTCTTCAGTCATAAACCGACAGTTAAAATCTATTTTTATGTCTAAATTGTTGGTTAACTCATTACAATGCTTGGCATCAAATCACTAAGCACAAGAATGCTGCTAGACATATATCATTACTGCAGGGCTGGAATATCCTGTATGCTCCCTAGGCCCTACCTGCCCCCAGCGGTGTGAAATTGCAGCAGTGTTAGAATTACTGAGTTGTGGGGGTTTTGGGGGGTTTTGTTTGTTTGGTGTGAGGTTTTTTTTGGTGTTTTGGTGGGGGGTTTTGTTGCAGGTTTTTTTGGTTTGTTGTTGGGCGGGGGTGGAGCGGGGGGTTGTTTGGTTCGTTTGTTTGTTGTTTTGTTGGTTTTTTTTTTAAGAAAAAAAACTATAAAACACCTTACATTTAATAATTCATGACTCCCTAAAATTTCTGGAGGCTCTTTGGATCTGCCATGTTCCAGTCCCCGTCTGCTTTTCCCAATTTTGTAAAAGGCATTATGTCTGTCCACAAAAGCTGCCTCATTTAATACTATTTATAGAATTCATAAAAAGAGATTTTTGCCATACAAGGCTACCCACTGTCTTTCTGGATTCCATTTTCCCACCTTTTTTGAGGACTATCTAAATGTAAACTAACACAATGTGAACCTAAAAGGTGTTCTAATACGGTCCACTATAATAAAGAGGTAATTACCTCTAAGTACCCATTTGGTTGCACAAAACTAAAAGGCACAGAAGAAAAAAGCCTACCTCCTTTTTGGGAAACCTTGTTGGGAAACGAAGCCATTCATAAGCTGTTTTTCTGGTGATGCTGGGATCAAGAATCCTGATTTGACTAGATTTGTATATCATGTTCAGAGCTGGTTTCTTCCAAAAACCTTTAGCACTCTGTAACAGGCAAGCAAATACACATTTTTAACAGCTATAAAAAGTTGATTTTGGTTTTGTAGCAACTCTAATCAGAGTAAAATCCAAGGGCAGGAGGTTGAGGAAGAACAAGAGGAACATTGAACCTCCCAAAGTTGAAAAAAAACACATGCCAGATCGTGCTCTTGCAACAGGCTACCCCACTGCAGCAGCAGAGGCTGGGGTTGGCTGGCAAACAGCTTTGCAGAAAGGTCCCTGATGGACAATACACACCAGCAGTGTGCCCTGAAGCCAGTAAATGCTCGTTGTGTGCTTGGCCACATTAACATGAGGATAAAGAAGAGGTAGACAGAAGTTATCATTCTCAAGTACTTTGTACTGTGCCTTTCTGCAATCTCACAAATGCTGTTTTGGGCTCCCCCCTGTGCAAGAGAGTGTCAAACTGGGGCGAGCTCAGCAGAAGGCCACTAAAACGGCCGAGGGGCTGGAGTGCACAGCAAACAAGAAGGGTCTGAGGAGGCTGGGTTTGTTCAGCCCATCTTTAACTACGTAGTAGAGGTTTACAAAAAAAGACAGGGTTAGACTCCTCTTGGAGGCACACAGTGAAAGGATGAGGAGAAATTCTTTCCTGTGAGGGTGGTGCAGTACTGAAACAGAGATCAAAATTTACATGGCTGATGCCCCGAGAAGTTGGTATGGCTTTGAACTTGGCCCTGCTCTCTTTCAACAGGGTTTTGGACTAAAGACCTCCAGAGAGAGGTCCCTTCCAACATTATTCTGCAATTCCACCAAGTGCATAGGATAAAATAATCTGGAAACAGCTGGAACGTGCATGTCAGAATATGAAACAGTGCTAGGAAGAGGAAAAAAGGTATTTCCCAGAGGAAAACTGATTTGGGGTGATGAACTGATCAAATACGTGGGTGAGAAAGAGGACAGAAGCATTTATGGAAAAGGGATACTGAGCAGACTGACTGGGACATCCAGTGCTCCCCCCAGCTAGGACTAAGGTTAAAAGCAAAACAGGTATTTCACAAGAGGTGTGTGGCAAGCTGAGCCAAAGTGCACAAATAATTAAACTCACTACTTTCTGACCACCTAGTATCTCCCAAAGCCACTTCAAGTCATGTGGTTTGAAGACAATGAGAACAACGGTCGTATTCGGGTCATAGTGGATTGGATCTGAGAAGATGGATTCCGGGTAAGAAAGGCGGAAGGTCGTCCTCCTCCCAACATCCTCTTCGTACCCTATAACAGGGCCGTTATTCATTCTGCAGAGGAGAGAGACACAGAGATGGCAATGACTACCCCACCCATGTCCTTACTGTGCAGTGGCTGGCACACACATTAGTCTACGGGACAGACAGTGTGTCCAGGTACAGGAGGGTTTAGTGGCCCAGCATTTACTTATCACATTACGTGGTAGACAAGCAATTATCAGGTGCACTGACCCTCTAACTCAGAGGGATCAAGCACATATGGGAACTTGGCCAAGGCGGTTTAGAATACAATCACGCAATTGCTTATCTTGTGTCACTTGAGCAGAAGGCCGCCTGATTTGGCTCAAACGCAGAAACCAGAGAAGACCAAAGAGAGTATCTGGCTTGGAGAATTACCCATTGCTCCATCCATGCTACTAGATGATTCGAGTCATACAGGAGGCAATTCAGCAATGTTTTAATACTCCTTACTACCTACAGCATACAGGAACAGGGATTATGACTCTGTACTCGATGCTGATATATCTCTATGTTTGCTTTTTTTTTTAGTTTGTTTGGGTTTGGGGTTTGTTTGGTTGGTTTTGGTTTGTTTTTTTTTTTTTTTTAATAACAACTTGAACACCTACCACTGCTTTGGGATATGACAGATTAATAAGCAGTGAGCAGGTGGGTCAGGTCTCTGTGCTCTGAGGTGTTAGAGGGGCTGTGTTTAAGTCTCTATCTTGCAGTTTTCGCTTGATGTATGTGTTGCATATCCTTTGGAGAACTGAGGCAGTCGCTGTATGCTCCATTCCTGCCAACGTGACTGACTGCTCAGAATAGGAGGCACACTGCTTAGGAGCAAATGTTTGCATAACAAGGTATGCAGACAAGGGAATATTTCAAAGTTTTATCAGAGGTCATCATTAAATACAGAATGCAAAACACCATCTTTCTTCTATGCAGACAAGGGAATATTTCAAAGTTTAATCAGAGGTCATCATTAAATACAGAATGCAAAACACCATCTTTGTTCATTCACAGTAAACAAATGTGTACTAGATTTCTGAAACAGTTTTGAATTTAGAGTTGTTTTTAAAAGCATGACAGCAGTCTACTCAAAGATTTCAATTTTAAGAAGAGCAGAGAGATCTACAAAGAGCCCAAATACTTGAAATACCTTAAAAACAATCCATGGAGCTTCCTTGCATCATTATACTACACTGAAAATAAGTGCAAGGTGGGGGGGGGTTTTGTAAAGCACAAAGTTGTCAGGCAAGTAAAGTTTCATATGAACAAAAATAGTACCCGGATCATTTTCTATAGTTTTAAGTCTATAAGAGGAGCTACAACTGAAGAATTGCATGTGTTCATTTCCACCTTATCAGTACATCAGTACATTTCCAAATCCAGGCTTTGCATACAACTTGTTATAGTAGTGCTTGAAGACTGAAATGCTATTACCAAAATGAGCATTAGGACTGATGACAAAGCAACAAAAATGAGATTTTGTTCAATGTTCAACACAACGTTGAAGCAGAAAAACCAAACTGGCAGCTCAGAGATTTTAGTGAAAGAGGGGTCAGGCACACTATCTGACAGGGTACCTACATGCAGAAGGGCTGTTTAATTAGTTACTATCTCAGTTCCTGCAAAGGAGAAACCAATTCATCTTTTTCTTAATGTGTAGAAAATGCTGTTATAATTAGCCAAATAGCTGATTTCCAGTTTGCTTGGCATTTGAGCTTTTTTTTCCCTCTCTACCTCCTTTCTGTTCCTCTCTGAGCACTTCCTCAGTTTCCCTGGTCCAGATGCCTCTTCTTCAGACCCCAGCACTCTCTGGTAGTTCGAGGCATCTCATAAACTTCCAATATGAATTAATATGCTTGAGAATAAGGGGCAGACATCAACATCATCCTCCAGTTGACGCGTGCCTTAAGATGGACTTCCCAGCATGAATGTTACATTTAATCCACTCCAAGAAATGCACACGCCAGCACAGGGGTAAGACAGGCGCGGTGTGGAAGGTAAGAGGCAGGGCTGCCCCGGATGCTGGCACACAGCGAGGGGCACATGCAGGGCCCCGGGCTGTGACACGCTTGGACTCATCCCTGACGGCAGCATCTTGCACAGGCATATCTGTACACGAGGCAGACTGACCACATAGTGATCCTTCCTCCCCTGTATCAATCAGTCTGTGTAATAAAACACTGATTTATTGCTTCCTAAATTTTTTTAAATGAAGGCTGTGGCAGAATAAGTAAAACAGTTTCATACAGTTTCATTTGTATAACTACAACTCCAAGGTTACTGGCTGATGGCAAAAGTTTGTTAATTCTTCGCATGTATACAGAACGAAAAGAAGATACCATTTACCTTATTATCACGTCATATGAGTCAATTTTCTCCCCTAATGTCTTATTTCGAAGTACTCCTCCATTACCGACCACAACACACCGTCGACAGGCAATACTGTGGAACAAAGAGAACTTTCAATATGCACAACTTCCCTTGCTTCATATTGTTGTTAATGATATATTTGCATTTAGCTGGCTTATCTACTAATTGAGGTCCTGTATCTTTCACACTTCATGGCCCCTACAGAGCAGTCTCAATCCAACACAGCTGCATTATTTCAGGGACCGCCAAAGTCAGGAAATGGTTTCTCTCATGTAAAACTATTTTTATACATGTCCTTTTTCTAGCGGTTTGCTGTTTAAAATCATCTAACCAGTTGGTGATATAGGTGCCATTAGATAAATTATCTTCCACAATGCTTCAATTTGTCCCAGTCTAGGGGTATATAAACTAGGATAGAGTATGTCTAGAAAAACTAAGTTAGGGTGTTTCTGCAATATTGTACAAATCCACAACTCGAGATCTCCAACACAAGCTAAAGCAGCAAGATTTATGTTCACAATTCACCTCACAGGTCTCTGAACTTATGAAGGTAAATTCTAACAGTAAGATTTTCCAAGTTATCCCAGGTTTTCTAAATGTATCTTTAGTTCTTTACCGGCTTATGTCAATGCTATTAAAATATATGCTTTGCTAAAAAAAAAAAAAGCGGCACACAGACAGGCTTGCTGGTTTTTTACTCAAGAAATTTTTGCCTCTTTAGGGAAGGCTTACATCCAATGTATAAGACTGCAAACTTCTCCTTACAGAACAAGCATGTCATTTTTTGTTGTAAAAATGCTTCTTTATTTAGAGCAAAAGCTGTTCAACTTGGTTGCAGCAGGAACAATGGCAAAATAGAAATGTTGGTCTTTTCTTCAGACACAAACAGGCTCACAGCTTACTGAGGATGAGCCACCTCCCAACATCTCACTCCCACGGTTCTTCAAATAAGAAAAAGGCTCTATGCCATTTCTTACTGTAGGGGACCCCAAGACTGTGTCCCAAAGAATACTATAATCTGTATTAAACGCCTAGTGTGGCACTTTATGCAGAGTAATTAGCATCTTTCTCCTCAGATAGTCCAACCTGTTTTTTCATCTGAGAAGAGTATTATTCAACATCAATGAAAACAGCCTGTTCCAGCTGAGAGTGACCAACATCTCAATGTACAAAGCAGTTCCCTCTATTTCCTACAGACCTGTTAACGCAGTTGCGCTGTATCGCACGTGGGCTAGGGAAAGGAAACTGGGCCTCAAAGCAATGCTGAAAATCTGAAGCTCACAGAAAAGGTGAAATGAGAATAAATGCCACTGTAAGAAGCACTGTATTTCAAAAGAAATGCTGGGATGGCACCTTCTTACCTGTTGCTCTAGGGCCATATCTACAGAGGGAGTTGCCTTTAAAAATTTTTTGTATCTATCTATCTATAGATATAAAAATAAAAATATTGCTGCTAAATGTGGCTCTCAGGGTGGGGTGACACGGAAAAATCTGGCACACCTTTCTCTAGAGTTTCCTGAGCAGCTTAGTAGAAGCCAAGCATTCATAAAAAGATTTCCAGTTAATGCCACAAGTCCGTGTGACTCAGTACCTCGGAAATCAGAGGGGTGAAAGCCTGTTACACCATCCCATCCTCAGTATGCCCATTCCCTCTCTATTCCAGGACTGCTTCAGCCTGTTCATTTTCAAATTAGTTTTTCAATCTAGTTTTAAGATATCCTGATAAAATAGGCTGGTGAACATACTCCTCTTGCAAAGTTTACAGTGGGAGGAAAGAAGCAGAAGTTACCCTTTCCTGAATTATACTTTGTTACTTACAGCTATATCATAGAGCTTAAAGCAAGATCCTGGGCTACAGAGAAGGAAAAGCAAGAAGAAACAGGAAGAAAAAAGGAAAATTGGACAAAAAAACCGTGATCAGTAAGTGATGAAGGTGGAACAAGGGAGAGGGGAAAAAAGCACAGAATTAGTATCACGTTTTCCTGTTGTTTACAGCATGCTTCTGTAAATCACTGAAAGTTTCAGTCATCTCAAACCTCTGAATTCACTCTCACCAAAAGTTACGTGGTCACAGCTGGGTAACTGAGGTACAAACCTCATCACCACAATGCAAATCCTAAACTGCTACTCATACTGCAACTCCTGGTGGTCCCTCCTGGCTACAGCATCCATCCCTGATGCCTGGTAGACACCCTGGTTTGGCAGTGACTGACACACCATGCATGAACTCATCTTCAGGTCTCAATAAAAAGCCAGAAAAATTACTCCTAATCTTGCTAAATATTTTCTTTTATACTCTGACTACTTGGTGTGAATTCACAAAAACAATGTCAACTCCATTACAAGTGATACAAGATATTCTGACCATGATAAACAGCCAAGAAGTTACTCTGAAAAGGCACTGCTTGTTCTGTCCCTTGTAGGTGAACTTTAAGTGATTCCTTATTACATACTTTCCAATTTTTGGCAGAGGCTATGATTTAAGAAGTTTCTTCACTATGTCAATCCCTACCTGGTGAAATAACACCTTCCACTCTGGTATAAAACTGACAAGCTCTTTGGTTTCTCCTCTCTGCACTGGTTGCGATGTAGCAGGATGTACTCAGGGCAGGGAGGGTCAAATAAAACGTGACTTCAGAGCCCAGCAGCCAAGGTTTGCACAGGTACAGAAGCTGGGTAGCTGCTCTCAAGTCAAATCCAAACTCTCTTCCCTCTTACTGACAGATGCAGACCAGATCTTGTTCATGGCTGCGAGTTACTAACACTACTCAGATGGAAAACAGAGTGACATTTGAATTTTGATCAAGCTTTCAAACTTCAGTGCCCTTAACATGCATACTCAAAAATAAAGGTTTCAGTTGCCTTCAAATAACCAATAAAACATCTAACATTGGTATGTGAACTCTTGAAACGGATAAAGTCAACGAGCAGATCAAATACTCCTGATGAATTGTACATGAATACAGTCACAAACACAGTCAAACAAATTAGCCCAGTTTTTAATCTCTATCAAGTTGAGGAAGTCGAAGCGGGCCAACTCAAACAGAAAGTCTGGCAGGAACGTGCTGTTTCTGAGTTATCTCCTCCCCTTAGCACCCTTCCAGTATTCAAGTGTCTCCAGTTACGACCACAGGTCTACATCCACAGTAGCACAGATTTCACTGACAATGATAAGCACAGAGGAAAATGGTTTGTGCTAGAGCAAAAAACCAGAACATAATACCATAGGAAATCAACATACAAAATGGAGATAAAGAATATATAAGCAAGGCTGGACTCTATTCAAGGATATTTAAATAAACTGACCTCTATTTACTGCAGACCACAGAAATCAACACATTGATTTTCAGCAAACTGTTACTCCCAGTTATTTTACCAACCCCACTTCTTAAAGTTTCCTTTTTCATAATGTTTTCATATTAAAAAAACCCAAACACTCACCCTTTCTCCAAGTCAATAAATTGGCAAGAAGAGAAATAAATTCAGATGTCCTTAAACAACATCAGGTGTGGTACAAGTGAGATAACAGACTGAAATGTCTGGAGGTCCAATTTACAACCACCAGCAAAATACTGATGAAGTGAAAACTATAAGACCTCAGCTATAACAATTGCTATAGCAGCGGTTTGAGTGACTAAGGGATTGCATTTAGGTGTTAGAGATCTGCTCAGAGTATAAATAGATCCTGATGCAAATCACATGGTAACTGGTCTCCAACATCTAAATGCAATCCCTTTAGTCACTCAAACCATTGCCCTATTCATATGTAGTACAAGAGCCTCTTAATCTCGAGGCCAGGCATTAGTTTACTTATTTTGTTTATATGGTGAAATGCTAACAGAAACACTTTCCTAGCCTATAAAAGAAAAATATTTTTAAATGGAAATGTAGCCTTTAAAGGTCAAAAGGCTTGCATCCTCCACATTCCACTGAAATACTGTTTCTCTGGAAGAGGAAAAAGAATCTCTCAACCTCAACTCCTTTAACACACACCCCTGTAGTCAGTTGAGGAATGCAAATTATTTCCTTCGAGGTTACTTGGTAAAAGGAGGATGCAGAGGTCACATTTTGTTGACTCAGGATTGTGTAAATGCATTTGTAAGAATTTATTGCTGCTGAATTTCGGGAGTGCTGAGAGTGCCCAGTGAGTAATTATGAGGAAATGGGTAGAGCAGGTGTTCAGAGGTTACTCTGTGGATATAACCCTAGCCTGGAAAACCGTTCTCCTACAGGCTATTCCACTGAAGTCAATGACACTGTTCCCTTCCAAACACTTTTGGGGAACTAGACCCTTACACAGCGAGAATTCCACCTAAGTTTGGAAAATGGAACTGTTAAGAAAAAAATCCTTCATAGCTCACTACGGACAGTTTTACCTAAGTTGCACATGAATATGGCTATATGATCACCACAGATTTGGTGCTCATACAGCCTAATAGTTGTTAAAATACTTTATAGCAGGTTGCCCCACTCTGCTCCAAGAAAGGTTTACAGGGGAATTTGGTTTGCATTCTGCCAAGAAGGCTGAATTAGGCAGCAGCATTACAGAGCTGCCTAATAATTCTGTATTACCAGAAAGTGTTCTTCAGATTAATTCCCAAAGTGTTTCCATTTAAAAGCTGCTGTTTCTCAGTTAGATGTATATATAAAAGCTCTTCCTTACTACAGTGATTCATGACCTAACAGTGCTCTACACAAAACCTGATGGATCCAGAAAGAACATATTGTATGAAGTCATTGTACATTTGATTTGGTTATACTACTGCCTATTAAATAGCAATAGTTCTCATTTTGCTTCAGTACTACTGAAGTATATTACTTTTAGTAAAATGAAGCATACCTCTCAGAACCACTAAACATATCTCAGAGAACCTACGTTCAAAGGATAAAATACCAATTACCTTACTTTTGATCTGTATGACAGACACTTCCATTTAAAAGGTACTATGCTGTACTGCAAGTGTCTCTACTTTACAGCCAAAATTATTATAGTGCTGAACTTGCAATTTCAGGGAATTTCTAATACAACATTTAGCATTCTCCTTCAAACTCCAGACAAAAGACTAGCCTTTGTCAGCCAATTCTGCATAGATTTCCCCAATTTTCACACTCCTGATAGAAAACAGGGGTATGGTGTGTGTCCCCCCTTAAGGGTAAACCTGAACATCCTAGAAATAGATACTAAACACAGGCAAAGGAAGTACAGTAGGTGAAGAAAAGGAAAACTGGATATTAAACTCAAGATAATTCTTAGGCTTGAACACCAATTATACGGTTCATATTCCACCCAAGTTTAATTAAATGTGATCCTGGCATTTGGCTTGAAGGAACAATCTTCTGTTTGATCTCCTTGATTAAAAAACAAAACCAAGTACAGCTAACCTCAGCATTATTTGCATTCAAGTCTATTAAGAAGTCTGCATATTAACATGATATACAGTAGGTTGTCAGTCTGTTTGCTAGACTGCAAATCTAAAGAGTCATTTGCACCACTTGGTAAATACCGGATTTTAGTATACTTGCCAACCCTACTACACTACCTCCAAAAAAAAAAAAAAAAAAAAAACACCAAACCACCAAAACCACAAACCCCCAAAACAAAGAAAAAGAGCCCAAACAAAAATAAAGCAACAACAACAAGATACACGGACACAGAAAGACCCTCCGAAACCAAACAAAAGACTCTGGCAGAAGTGGCTTCTAACCAAAAGATTTAAACAGGGCAATCTAATGCATGGGAAGCAAGTTATCTAAGGCATGCTCCACTGCGTGCCACACCCTAGTTACTCCCAAAATGCCAGGAATGGCCTCTCCGGGCCGCCTACGTCTCCCTCATTCATGGAAAAAGGAAGCTGAGCACACATACGAACAAGGATGTGCGGCAGACCAGCAGATGAGGTGGCACGGGAACATGCGTAAGATTTCATTTGCGTAGAAACAATCATTAGTTTGCGTCTGCTAATCTCAAAAATTCTCTAGCTTACACTAATGATGACTTGGAAAGAACAGATCACATTCAATTTTTAAGGGGTGGTTTCACTTCCTTCAACTACAAAAAGATACTGCAGGGAGACAGGACTGCATTCAGCTAGCAAATTCCTAAAGCACTTACAAAAAGAAATCTGTAAGTTTAAGCTCTCTCACAGAAAAATTATTCTTGAATGCTGGTACTACATATGTTTAAAACCAAACTTATTTAAATCTTGGAATCAGTTACATATTGCTTGGACACAGTCAGTCAGATCTGCATCTCGACTAACTTGAGAAATTTCAGGATAACAACATTGCTTTTCAGATAAATATTAAATATGCAATGAACAGAAACAGTAGCAAATAAACCATCTCACCTGTCATCTTCATTGGAAAGTCCACAGTTCTGCAGTCTTGAAAGGGCTAAACGAAAAAATTGCTCTAGAAAGCAAATATAAAAATTAGTGAAAATGTTCAGTGCTTTCCAATATAAAAATCAACATGCCACCCTCACTACAGCATTTTCAGACACAGTAGTTTTTACGTACTGTGCATAAAAACTCAAAATAAGAACACTTGTAATTCAGGGCCACAGCTAAATCAATGATGCCAAAGAAATTCTGGTTTATCAGAGCTCCTCTCTGGGAAGCTTTTCCTGCATCAACACTCCCATGTTGGGAAACAGCATGGGATTTGTATCAAAAAAAAAAAAGAAAAATCTTAGTTACAGTAAATAAGCATTGGAAGAGTTTCCAAGACCTGCGGCCTAATTGACTTTGTTTTTTCTTCTACCCACCTTCATCTGAAACAGAAGCAGCCTTGACCCAAGAGGAGGGGCAGCACAGCCAGGGACAGTAACAGCACTATGGATCTTGGGAGAAGACATCAAACCAGCCTGTGCTCACTGGCAAAGCTGGGCAGTGGCACCTTCCCAGCCCTCCCTCGGTGGGCAGGCGTCTGCTGGACACTCAAGGTGCCTCTAACTGAGAGAGGGCCTCAACCCATTCCCAAATGTATTTTGCCTCACTGCAGCCCCTGAGGTGTGGGAAAATGCACCATCCTTGTTACACTGATGGAACGCAAATCCAGAGTCTAAAGCCCAGACCTGCAGGGTACCAGAAAGGTGCGCTGTTCAGTGTTAAAAACTCCGAGATCTGAGACTTTATAACCCTTTCCAAAAGTGCGACTAAGACCCTTAGGGTCTCTAGCCCTGTCTATTCTGCCCTGGCCAACACAGCCAGCAGGCATGAGCAGGCAAACACTTTGCATGGGTACAGTAGCTGTG